CGCGGTAAATAACGTCCATAAACTATTCAATCGCTCGCGCTGCTCCGTGATGATAAATGACGGACGAGCGACAGATTAACACGTTTCTACTATAGATTCGCCGTTTCCACGATAATCGACGAGGGCCTCTCGGCTGATTGGCACGTATGCGCGGCACGATCCATTAGGGAGCTGGATCCGAGAGGCCGGTAGGATTAGCCGATTTTGTACAGCGCCGGCCGCATAATCGCGTCTTCGTTATCCTGTTAGCCTCTTCCGCTTTCTCCCCCTTTTCCCGCCCGGTTTTCATCGACCCCCTCCGTCGCGTCGGATCGCTACCCTCAATTACTTCGCGTCAAGTATCATCACGGCGGATACTATACGTGACGTCTAATTTTAGAAACGGCGCCTTTGATTAACGCGAATCATTCTCTCCTTCTCTTCTTTCTCTAGCATATCTCGATCTGCGTTAAATACCTCGTGGACTGCGTTAATAATAGCGCGCGTGTCATATTTGACAATCAGCTGTTCGCCGCATGGAATGGAAGACTCGCGGAAAATTGAACATGTTGGGCCGAGCATGCTATATGTATGTGTATGTAGAAAAGTGAATAATGGCCGGGAATTTATTTTAATATATCAAAGGGATATATTGAAGTTCGATCGCGAGAGATGAAAGACCTATTTGTGTTTTAGTGCATTGAAAGAAGCGAACGCTGCACCGAGAAAGATCGTCGAATAAAGAAGCGATTTTATTATAGGTATTACGTAAACAAATTTTCCGTTCCATTCCTAACGAGTTGTTTTTTTCAGTATGTTTTTTTCTCTGAAGAGAGATGATAAGAATGTTTGTTATTTTCTACATGGTACAAGTTTCATAAACTATTAATATATAAAAGAAATATGCAGTTTTTTCGCGGTTATAATAATAATAATTGAAAAAAAAAAATTTATTTGTATTCCCTTTATCATATATTTAATTATATAGTTTTGATCGAATTTGTTGTGCAAGTAAAAATCGAGTTTAATATACGCTCGAAACAAAGAGTTGGCCACTTTATCACCAGTCTTTCATGATGAATGTTGCGAGTACGCGTATACGTCCCTTTCGTAAGAATATTCAATTTCCAGCAATATCAATGCCAGCATTGTCGAGAAGTGGCTCCATCCTACTAGTAGTGTGCATGGAGTTGATGATCCAGTTGTATGTAATGAGGTCATTCCCTCTGAATCGAGTTCGTGCGGGTAGGAAGGTGACGTATTGCGAATCGAACGAAGTAACTTTGTAGTCAACGGTGGTTTCAATTTCGCAGTAAAATGCCGTTGGCTCTGCGAGCGATTGCCTGGAGCTGTTGCGCGATCTTTTTTTTCTCTACATTCCGCTATTCCGATATTCACTTTGTCCCGCTTTTTTTTTCATTTTTTTTTTTGTAAAAAGGAAGCTCTGGCTATTTCGCGCATGATGCTCGCAGCAAAAAGTATTAGTTCGCGTCTCTGATGAAGGATGAAATGTGCGTCCTAACCAGGTATAGCAAACATCGGGAATAAAATCAATCACGGATAAATATAAATAAAGTTTTATTTATGTATGTTTGTTTTTATGCAGAATAGGAAATCCTGAGAGCAAAACAGATACACAAATATTTAACCATTTATTTAATAAATGTAATAATGGAATTTAATTCTAATTTCTGATATCATACGCAAGTTATATGGAATTATGATGTCAAAAGAGAGATCTCATGTGAGTGTTTTTTTTTTGTGGAATATGAATATGAAATAAATTATAGAAATATTTTTTCCTTGTATGAATTAAAGTAAATTAATTCTTTTGTGCGTCATCATTTGTATTTGATAGTACCTATAGATTGATAGAATATATCAAAGATTCTCTCTTTGATGAATAAATAGCTGTAGATCTTTATCACGATTGTCACGAAATTCGCTCGGAATGTAGGTCATACGCAGATTGAGTTACGCGTATATTTATTAATGCAGAATAATAAAACGGAGAGTTGTATTTTACAAATCTGTACTACGTGAATAAAATGGTATATGGAAAAAAATTTATTTCGGTATATTTCGCAAGGAAAAATTCACATGATATTTCTCGCACGTGATATCGTAATTAAATTTGACTGTAGTGCAAACAATAGAAGCCTTATAAATTAAAATATATTTAAATCACCAACAATTTTCAAAGATAATAAAATGAAAAGACTCGATGTATTATATAAAATTTAAATTCAAATAGGAAAAAGGCTAATAAGAACCAGGCGCAGAAATCAGGTGTAACAAACTTGTTTTAAAATTTTCAGGATAATCCAAATGTAAGGATCGAAATATTCAAATTAAATAAAGATTTTTAGATTTTGAATTAAATAAAGAAATAAGTTGGCTGCGCTTTTGATTTCTGCACTTGGCTTTTATTAAAGTTCTTTTACCCGAATCTTCAGATGCTTCTTTTATCATTATAAAAATTTACTATTACAATTTTCTATCAACTGTGCAAATTTTTGTTACATTATTAAATCATAAAATATTTATATATTTTTTCTTTCTACATTGAGTTGTTAACTTGACTAAATTGTTCAACTAATTATTATTTTCTTAATTACTAACCTATATAAGTATTTAAATAAAAACACGTTATATTAGATTCAATATGTTGTGTTTAATTTAAAATTAAATACTTTTATATATTCAATTCACAAATTAGTAATCAGTTGAACGATTTAGTTAACAACTTTTTTTCTAAATGTAATTAATTATCATTATCAGAATTTTGATATACATATAATTAAATTACTATTTTGATTTTATAAAATATTTAATTATTAAAGAGGAGAGACATGACGTCGTCGTTTCTTGCAATTTTTTTAACACGCTTCGTTAATTAATACACTGGAAAAAAAATGTGTCAACTTGGCTAAACCTTTCAACTAAATTCCTATTTTGTTAATTGAACATGTATTAGTATTTAAATTAAATATACGTTTTGTTAGATTTCTCATGTTATATTTAATTTAAATATTTTTATCTCTTCAACTAACACAATAATATTTAGTTAACAAATTTTTTGTCAACGTACATTCGATAATCATTCGAATTCCCGAATAAGAAATTCGATATGCGCGATAAAATCAAAATAAAAAACTAATTGGGTGAAAATTGTTGGCGGAGAAAAAACGAAGGGCGGTGAGGGGTGCGAGTTGAAAGGGGTAGAAATATAGGAGAGAAAAAGAGAGGGAGGACTAAGAAAGGATAGAGTCGGGGGTTACGCTCGGAGTTTGACACAGTGAGAGATCGGCGTTGCTTGGCAACCTCTAAGGGTGGAAACCCACATTGGCGTAGGGTATATACTTGCGACGAATTTATGCGCCATTACCATTCCTTATATATCGACTCACCCCGTGAGAACACGTGGAAAAACGCGCGTGAATGAACCCCGGCCGTCCGATTCAGGAGGATGAATACGACGAAATTGGCTGTTTATTCTCGCGACGTCTAATGACGCATGTATTGTCGCGAGGATCATACACCGCAAATTAACAATCCCGGAAGATAACAATCTTCACGGATGAGCAAAACCGAAGGCTCCGTGCCCCGAGTTCTGCGGTTTTATGTATCCACCCTTTTATGTATCTGGGAATGAAGTAATGAGACACTTTATTTAAATTTCATCTCTTTTATTCTCGGAGAATACGTCTTTATTTCTGTCTCCCGACTATCAGCAAGATCTATTCTCCAGATAATCTTTATTAAGACAATCAAATTTAATTAGGATAAACATTTCATGTTCCTTTCATCTTTTTAGAAGAGAAATCCTAGTCATTTAAATCACATCTTGACATCTTATATTAGTTTGTCTTTTTGACATCTTGACATAATAGAAATATTTTAAAAATTTATCATTTCATGAACTGTCGGACATTGCATACATCATGCACATGATAATTTAATCGTGTCAATTAAATATATTTTTAGATATTAAATCGATAGATTTAATTAATATCTCTCACTCAAGTGGGAAAAGCAAAAAGGGGTGTATTTACTATTTCCGCTTCATTTACTTCTACCGTTGTTTCTACGCCCGTGGAAGATTGCACCCTGTGGCAAATTCTACGGCAAATGTAATATGTCCCATCGGGAGGTCGATATATATATATATGTATAGACACACAAGTCCCACGGTGGCTTTCTCTTTCAGTTCAGCGCATCCGGGGCATTTTTAATCCGTCATCGCTGGTTCCCACGAATCCGCACGAAGATTTTATTTTCGCGGTTCTTTTTCCAAATATATCTCGCGGTGGAATAATATGTTGTATAAGCAGGCTTTATAAAGCGTTTTTATCTTAAAGCGATTACATCCTGAATGGCGTTGGAAAGATAATTGCGATTCTCCCATCAAAGATTAATAATATAGAGCGTGTATAATTGAACGTTATATCGACAACTTTGTCGTTAAATTGTAGGTACCGCGTTTTAACGAATACAATAGTCGATCTCTGCAACTTGTTGCGTTCAATTAAGAAATTATAGTAAGGTACCTCGCGTGAAAAACGAATTTTTAATTTCTCGGACTCGGTTGTTACGTTCAATTTCGTCGTAGGACGGAAATTGCACGTTCCTGTATAATCCTTTAGATTATCGGCCATGTAATACCAGAGGAGAATTATCCGATAATATTTTACGAGGTCGTTTTTTGTAGAAGAAGCGATCTAAGACGACTCAGGAATAAATATCCAGTTGATCGATGGATATAGGGCTCTTGGAATCAGTAAAAAAATGAGGCATTTCATTTCCTTTTGAATAAACACTGGAATTTATTTGCATATTTAATATGAAAAAAAATAAAAATAAAAATATTAAGAAGAAAAAATAAGAAATTAAAAAAAAATTAATTATGCCTCCTGGAAAAAATTCCTGCGAACGCCCATGTCGATATAAAGTATTAAGTTAATTAATATATAATTAATATAACGTCTCGTCTAATCTTCTACGCCACTGTCTTTTTTCAGTCGAGTGATTCTGGAGGTTTTCGCGCACGTAGAAAATCGCCCCAGGCAATCGCAATGGCCACGCTATCTTTGCGCATCTCTATACCGGAGAAGAATGCTACCAAGATGATGCAGTTCGATCCCAGCACATCGGTATACGATGCCTGTCGTATTATCAGAGAAAAACTCGCCGAAGCCAGCAACATGGGACAACGTAAGTGTATTTTTCTCAACCCCGAATCTATATTATCGAAATATTTCGATAACGCTCTTTCTTTCTCTCTTTTTGTGATGCACACATTTTCCAAAAATAAATAAATATTTTTTTTTGCGATGAAGATATACGTAAGTCTTAGATTCCATTTTTAGTCTTAATTTTTTTAATATTACACGGTTGAAAAATGTGTGTTAAATTTAACAACTATCATATACTTATGTCTCATATGGTCCACAGACATTTTTGTGTCACTTTAACATAATACGGATATGTTAAATGGCGACACGAGAGAATACTGTGTTAATATTTTAATATAAAACAAATGCAAATTTCAAGTAAAGTTAAAATAAATTTTGTGTAAAATTAACATAGGTTTAATGTAAAAAGTTAACTAAAAAAATGTTAATTTTAGATTTTATCATTCTTATATTATAAAATAAAAAATCAACATTTTTCTGAAAATTTTAACAGAGAAATCTTGTCGCTAATAATACGAAACATATTTATTGTGTAAAATTAAAAATAGATGCATATTGTATAATTTTTACACACTTTTCAATTGTTTTAATAATTTAATATTTGAGTTCAATTAACACAACAGCAATATATTAAATTAACACATAAATGTGTTGAATATTTACACAAAAATTTTTACGGGTACAGTTTTTAATAAAAAAAAACTCTAACTGTGTATAATATTACACCGAAGAATAATGCTAATAAAATAAATTTTCAGAAATATGTCGAAATGTCTCATTTACTAATTCATGCAATAAAAGGATATTTAAAAAATCATACGTCGAGATTTAATCGCTCAATTACTTCGATGGAAATGATAGAAATTTTAATTTATCGTTAAAATTCTTTTCTCGTGTTCTATTATTCATATATAAATATATTAAAAATATTAAACACACATGATAAAATTGTACATCGTGCTTCGAGGATGAATTTATAAGGGATGCCGTTTTCAAGATGCGTTACTTTTTTCGTAGCGAAAGATTACGGCCTGTTTCTCGCTGATGAGGACGTGAAGAAGGGAGTCTGGCTGGAACCCGGGCGAAATCTCGACTATTACATCCTGAGAAACGGGGATCTCCTCGAGTATCGTCGTAAGCTTCGTACTCTCCGAGTGCGCATGCTGGACGGAACGCTGAAGACCATGCTGGTGGACGACAGTCAACCCGTAGCAAATCTCATGGTGGTGATATGTACGAAGATAGGCATCACGAATCACGATGAGTATTCTTTGGTGCGCGAGTTAGTGGAGGAGGAAAATGAAAATCAGAAACCCGGAAATTTCGGCACTCTCACGTTGAAGCGGAAGAAGGAGGAGAAAGGCGAAAGGGACGCCAAGATGGAACAATTGAGGAAGAAGTTAAAAACCGACGATGAAGGTAATAAGATTTCGAGCTTTTATAGTTATATTTAAGTTTTATCTAAGTTTTTATATTTTATTTTTTAACTAAATTATAATTTTATATTTTACTTTTTCAACTATAATTTTGTATTTCAGTTTTTATATTTTAGTTTTATATATTTAAACTTTAAGAGATTTAAAAGTTAATTAATAAATACGCACGGGATGGATTGCGAAACAGTGCAATCTAAATGATATCAATATAAAAAAAAACTGTTAATCTCGGCTCGAATTATTGTGTTACAATAAAAATAAAATATCGACGGCAATCGGAGCCTGTGCGGATAACATGCACAAAATTAATAAATTAAAATGAGATCTCAAATCAAACTCATTTATTAAATTCTAAACGTTTCGACCCACTTCGGGTCTTCTTCAGTAGCTGCAAAATACAAAGAAACAAAAATAGAAGATAATCGGTACTAAATGATATCATACAAAGTTATTAAAAAATATTTTTTTCTATCAAAATATATATATATTCTTAATATTTTACAAATGTAATTTTTTCTTGAATTATTTAAATTATTTTAAATTATTTTATTAAATAGTATATTGCATATTTATATTTGCATATTATATATTAATAATTGTAGTTGAATTTAATGATACATGACATAAGATAATTAGAAAGATCACAATTAATTACAATTTAATTAAAAAGAAAGGTAAATTATCAAATATTCCGATTTTTAAAATCAATTTTCTCAAAAATAAAATCTGATATAAAAATATTTTATATTTTTTTCTGATAAAAAAATCATCTTTTTGATTGTAGTAATGTTTCTCTTACTTTATATGACAATAAATAACGAATGCCAAACATGTTTTCACATTTTGCTTTTTTCTTTCACAGTTAATTGGATAGATCCAAGTAAAACTCTGCGTGAACAAGGCATAGACGAATCCGAGACGGTTCTGTTGAGGAGGAAATTTTTCTTCTCGGATCAAAACATCGATAGTCGCGATCCTGTACAATTGTCGCTATTGTACGTGCAAGCACGAGATGCGATCTTAGACGGTACACATCCGATTACGCAGGAAAAGGCTTGTGTTTTTGCCGGAATCCAATGTCAAATCCAATTTGGTGATCACAAGGAGGAAAAACATAAGCCGGGTTTTCTGGAGTGAGTTGCGATTCTATACAATTCCTCAACTCTGCCGCTATCAATATTTTATTTATAACATTTGTGCATATTTTTCATATACATACTTTTATTATATATCTAGAATAACGCAAGCGTAAAAATATTATATAAAGTTCGTTTTAACTCGATTAATATCTTTTGACAGAAATCAGCTGATAACTATCAAAAATATTAATTAGTAAATATTAATCGAGTTTAAAGTATTATAACATATATATTATTTAAAATATATTATTTTAATTTTTATAATATATTATTAAAAAAGTTAATTAACAAATTAACGCTTAAATCAGCTGATTTCTGTCAAAAAATATTAATAAAGCAAAAATTTGCTAATTAAATTTTAAAATAATGTTTTCTCTTTCTTTTAGTCTGAAAGAATTTTTGCCGCAATCATACGTAAAAGTCAAAGGAATCGAAAAGAAGGTCTACGCGGAGCATAAGAAGCACATCGGGCTCTCGGAGCTGGACGCCAAAGTTTTATACACCAAGACTGCCAGGTCGTTGAACACGTATGGTGTCACGTTCTTCTTGGTAAAGGAGAAGATGAAGGGCAAGAACAAGCTGGTACCGCGTTTGCTCGGCGTGACGAAGGATTCGGTCCTGCGACTCGACGAGAAAACAAAGGAGATCTTGAAGACGTGGCCGTTAACGACTGTGCGACGGTGGGGCGCCTCGCCGAACACTTTCACCCTCGACTTTGGCGACTACTCCGATCAATATTACAGTGTGCAGACCACCGAAGCAGAGCAGATACTTCAATTGATCGCAGGTTATATCGATATCATCCTAAAAAAGCAAAAAGCAAAGGATCATTTCGGCATCGAGGGAGATGAGGGATCTACCATGGTGGAGGACAGTGTGTCGCCTCTAAAGTGAGTATCTCTCACGCTATCAATACGTGTTAGCCTTCTTCGTGAAGGCGGGCGTGGACCGAAGTAATAATCATTATTAAGATACTGTTAGAACAATTATCAGTTCTCGACGAGTCAGACTCGTCGCAAAGCAACTGACTTTCGCGTTCAGTACGCGATGTCTCGTGAATATTTTGCATTAGTTTAATACGATCATGGAGGAGTTTCTGAGACGTCATGCCAATAAACATATTCGAGCAGTTTCTAATTATAACGGGTATTACTCTGGTTGAATAGGAGCGTTTAAGATAGATGACTTGATACGCTTTACATATATTTCGTTTGACAGGGCCACCATCATGCAACACGAGACCAGCAATGTTGGTAAAGGAAACGTAGAAGCCGTCTCGGTTGCCATACCCGCTGTCATGAGGGCCGGAGGAGATGGTGAGTGTTTCGTTCAAAATTTTATATAGCATTTTATCTTATTCTCAAATAATGTGGAATAATTAAGACTGTTCTTGAAAATAGTATTTTATCATATTATTCAATGGAGTGATTATATATAATTATCAAAACATAATGTAAATCAAATATATATAACAAAAGTTTAATCTTCTTTTGCTAAGCTGATTGGCTGTATTTTATTTAATAATTTTGTTTTCGTCGAGCATTGCAGAAAAATGACTCAAGATTTTTTTATGAAAGAATAATGTAATTAATAGATAAAGGAATATTTTGCACATATAGCAGCTTTTAAAAAATTTATTGGTTTTGTAAATTGAAAAACTGCGTAATCTTTTTAATTTTTTAAATATCATTCTTACATACTGGCTTTTTCTCTTTCAATATATTCAGCAGAAATTAATTAGCGATATCTTTTGCACGATTGAATCCTCGGATCTTTATTGATATATGTTGTACATATATATACACTTTTCACTTTGTAAATACACATTCAACAAGCTTCAAGCATTCGTCAAGTATCGCTTATAATAATAAAATGAAGTAATTAAACATTAAACGCGCTTGTAGCTTTTGACAGAAAATTGTTACATAAACGTACAAATTCGTGCTGTCGAGGACTCGATCGAACATATTCGATAATTGTAAATAAGATCCATCGGGTTAGAATGTGCATGGTATGATTTGTAGGGGCCCGACCATACGGAACCGGTCACATAGGTGGTGCCCAGTACACGACCGTCAGCGGACAGGTGAACATCGCTCATGCCCCGCCTATGGTAAGCTTTGTTAAAAAAGCGCTAAATTGCTCTCAAGCTCACCTTGGATGTCGATGTTTTTTAGTTGCTTGTTATAAATATATATCGCGTCTCCAAGTGTTGTAAAAATTGGTATCTTCGGGAAATTTGATGTAGTAATGACAAGAGCTGAGCGTGTCATACTACTGTATAATTGTGGATGATTAATGACACGTGTGTGTGGATACAAATACACACATACATATATTATATATACATACATACATATTTTTATTATACTAAAATAACACAAGCGTAATAATATTATATAAAGTTCGTTTTAACTTGATTAATATTTTTTGACAGAAATCAGCTGATAACTGTGAAAAATATTAATCGAGTTTAAAGTATTATAACATACATATTATTTAAAATATATTATTTTAATTTTTATAACATATTATTTAAAAATTTAATCAGCAAATTAACGTTTAAATCAACTGATATCTGTCAAAAATATTAATAAAGTGAAAATTTGCTAATTAAATTTTAAAATAATATGTAAAAAATATGAAAATGGTTATATGTTGTAAATAATGTTATAATACCTCATTTGCGATTATAATAATTTTGACAGTTATCAGCTGATTTCTATCAAAAAATATTAATCGGAGATGAGGTCTTATAACATACTATTACAATATTTACAACATATTGCTATTTTAATTTTATTATGTATATATAATATAAATACAAAATATATACTTAGGATAGTGGCTATATACTTTTTGCAAATGTCTAAAGTCGCACTTGATGAAATCATTGCACGTCAAGAAGAGCGAAAAAATTGTTTAAGGGACTAATAGACGGTTAAATTTATTTTCATGCTAGGCGCCTTCTATTGCGGACACAGAGTAGGTACATTACGATAACATTTTCAGTTATCTGTTACTGTTGAGTTTACGAATCTCTTCCGTTTTTTAATTCTCTCGTCTGATTCGTTTGCGTTCCATGTTTCTCTCTCGGTACAGCGCTTACTGGATTAAGATAAAAATCTCTATTACGCGTCACCAGCGCGGATCATTTAGATGCTCTCTCACGATAGGGGGAACATTCTTATTATTATTCGATCGATCAGTAAACTCTGTATCGCCGCAACTATTCAGTTGCAGTATTTACGTATACGCTTCGTTTACGTAAGCGCATTTCCCTTATTACTTTTTTCATTGGTTAATCGTTAAGCAAAATGTTGTTTCCAAAAAAAAGCACAATTTTTCTTATTAAAATCTTATTTTTTTTATTAAAATTCGATCGACTGTAGAGAGACTTTTGCAATGTACGATTGTTCAAAACCCAGGTCCAGCAAACTAAAGTGACATCCGTCCTATCCGAACCGCAACGTGCCTTATTGTCGACCATCAGCGCCGGTCACGAGGTGATCCATATCGCCGAGATGGAACTGTCTACCAAAGCTCAGCTGCCCGAACTAGGGACAGATCCGGCGTCCCTCAGATGGATCGAGCAGACGATCGACACCCACAAGCAGAATGTAGGCTCGCAAATTGCGGCGATGAACGCCGCGACCGCTCAGGTGGTCACGTTGACTTCGGGACCAGCCGATGACGTCGATCATACCGCAGTGGGAGCCGCGATTACGACGATTGCTACGAATTTACCAGAGATGACGAAGGGCGTGCGAATGATAGCCGCTCTCATGGACGATGATTCGTCTGGCGAGCGATTATTGGACGCCGCCCGGAAACTCTGTTCAGCCTTCTCCGATCTGCTGAAGGCCACGGAGCCGGAGACCAAAGAGGTGAGTGTTTCATTTCGTGGCGAATAGAACAGAAGAAAAACAATGTAAGAGTTAGAAGACGTGATTGTTAAATGTTAAAGTTTCGAATTCCTTCTTTCTTTCCTGCAGCCTTTCATAGCAACGACCTACGAACAATATGTAAGCACTATAACACGTCAAAGCTCTATGCAGATAATATTAGATGTATCTTTTTTTTACAGATACATTAGTCTATTTTCGAATCCTCGATCGTTAAAAGATGCGCTTTATAGAAGAATTTGTCAAATTATTTTAAATATTTCTTTCATTAATGTTTCCCTCTCTATTTCTTTTTATACGTGTATGTATATATAAGGACGCGTTATATACATTATATTTTACTTTTTAGCCACGGCAGAATCTTCTAAACGCGGCGTCGCGAGTGGGCGAAGCGTCGCACCAAGTATTGACAACCATCGGCGAAGAGGATGACTCGAATCGCGAGCTGCAAGACATGCTCCTTGCTCTCGCCAAGGCCGTCGCCAATACCACTGCTGCTCTAGTTCTGAAGGCAAAGAACATAGCAGCCACGTGCGAAGACTCAATTACCCAGAACAGGGTGATATCGGCCGCGACGCAATGCGCACTGGCCACATCGCAGCTCGTAGCCTGCGCCAAAGTGGTAGCGCCGACCTTACACTCGCCCGCCTGTCAGACGCAACTGATGAACGCCGTGCGCGAGGTGACCAAAGCTGTGGAGCGCCTGGTCGATGTCTGCAACGAGACGTGCGGCGACGAGAATCTGCTGAAGGAACTGAGCCTCGCCGCTGCCGAGGTCAGCCGCACCTTGAATGATCTTCTCAATCACATCAAGACTGCGACCAGGGGCGAACGCGCTAAGGAGTCCATTCAGGAGGGCGCGGTGGAGACGATTCTAGTTGCGACTGACAGACTATTCGCCAGCACCGGTGACGCCGGCGAGATGGTGCGCCAGGCACGAGTAGTTGGTCAAGCCACCGCTCAATTAATTCAGAGTATCAAAGGCGAGGCCGAGAGACAGACAGATTCAGAGCAGCAGCAACGTCTTCTGGCGGCGGCGAAACTGCTAGCCGACGCTACGGCCAAGATGGTGGAGGCGGCGCGACAGTGCGCCAGTAGTCCGCACGATGCGAGAATGCAGGATCAGCTTCGCCAAGCGGCGGAGGAATTGCGCGTCGCGACCACCGCGGCAGCAACCCCGGCGTTACGCAGGAAACTCATTACGCGTCTAGAGGCGTGCGCCAAACAGGCCGCATCCACAGCTACACAGTGCATCGCGGCGTCTTCCGGTGCCGGGCATCACAACACGAATTCAGCCAGTCAGGAGGAACTTAATATGGAGTGCCGCACGATAGCGCAACATATTCCTCACTTGGTATCGGGAGTAAAAGGCACTCAGGCACAGCCGGATAATCCGTCGGCGCAGCTAAACCTCATAAACGCTTCCGAGCAGTTTTTACAACCTGGTACTGCCGTGGTGAAGGCTGTCAGAGCTGTTCTACCGACGGTTACGGATCAGGCATCCGCTATGCAGCTGAACAATACCTCACAACAATTGGGATCCTCTTTGGCGGATCTAAGATCGGCGGTGACGCGCGCCAGAGAAGCTTGCAGTGGACTGGAGCTCGACGCTGCGGAGGAGTTGATAAATAGTCTGAAGGACGAGCTGGGTGAATTCTATCGCGCCGTCGAGGCGGCCTCTTTAAGACCTCTGCCAGAAGAGACAACGGAATCTACCGCTTTGAGACTCGGCGCAACGTCGAAGAATGTTGGATTTGCTATGGCGCAGTTATTGTCCGCCGCCAAGCAGGGTAACAAAAATTACACCGGAAGCGCCGCTAGAGAGACCGCGTCGGCCTTGAAAGACCTCACTTACGCCGTGCGCGGAGTAGCTGCTACATCTAACCAGCCGGAGACGCAGAAGAAGGTGTTGATGACTGCCGACGACGTGATTCTGCGATCTTTGCGCTTGGTCAAGGAAGCGCGACGCGTACTGAAGCATCCCGACGATCCTCAGAACGAAGCCAACTTAGCTGCGGTCGCCAAAGACGTCTCTTATTCGTTGAACAAGTGTGTGTCCTGCTTGCCCGGACAAAGAGACGTGGACGAAGCAATACATAACATCGACGATATGGCTCAACTGCTCAACACGAATGATTTCCCGCAAACGAGCAAGAGTTACGGGTAAATAACCTTTTTTCATTATATATTTTTTCGTTTATCTCAGTTTATAGTTCTTTTATTGCCTAATGCATCCTTATTGCTTGCCTAGAATAATTGTACTATTTCAGTTTTGTTGTACACTTTGCGATTTTTACTTTACAGACAATTACAGAGCGACCTCAATAACGCGGCCGCCAATCTGAACGACGCGTCCTCGAACATAGTGTCGTCCGTGCGTTCACCCGTGCAGCTCGCAAACTCGTCGAGACAATTCACCAATGCGTTCGGCGATCTGCTGGGCGTGGGCATGGAGATGGCGGGTCAGACGACGATCGAGACCCGTAGCCAGGTGGTCGTGTCGCTGAAGAACGTCACCATGACGTCCGGCAAGCTCCTAGTGACCGCCAAATCGGTCGCGGCCGACCCCACCGCGCCAAACGCGAAGAATCAACTTTCAGCAGCGGCACGCGCGGTCACCGATTCCATCAACTACCTGGTGGACGTGTGCACTTCGGCGGCGCCCGGACAAAACGAGTGCGACAACGCTATCAGGAATATTCAATCCATGCGATCTCTGCTCGACAATCCGAGCGAGCCCATCTCCGATGTTTCGTACTTCGAGTGTCTGGAAACAGTAATGGAGAAGAGCAAGAGCCTCGGTGATGGTATGACCGGCATTGCGAACTACGCGAAGAAGTCGGAACACGAGAACTTTTCCGTAGCAGTCCGCGGAGTCTCCTCTTCGATCTGCGGCCTGATCGAAGCTGCGGCTCAAGCCGCTTATCTTGCTGGAGTGAGCGACCCTACATCGGTAGCGGGTAAACCAGGTCTGGTGGATCAAGCACAGTTCTTACGAGCAGCGCAAGCCATACACAGCGGTTGCCAGAGTCTCAGCAATCCTACCACTACGCAAGAGCAAGTGCTCTCGGCCGCAACCATAATCGCTAAGCACACCAGCGCGGTTTGCAACGCGTGTAGACTTGCCTCCAGTAAGACCAGCAATCCGGTAGCCAAGCGGCACTTTGTTCAGTCGGCCAAGGACGTCGCCAATTCGACGGCGTGCCTCGTCAAGGAGATCAAGGCGCTTGATAAGAATTATTCCGACGCCAATCGCGAGAAATGTACGGAAGCTACGAAACCATTACTTGAGGCGGTCGACAATCTCTGCACATTCGCGAGCTCTCCCGAGTTTGCGAGTCAACCGGCCAAGATATCCATCGCGGCCAGAGCCGCCCAGGAACCGATCACCAGCGCCGGCAAATCCATCATTGACGGTTCCTGCGCCATGGTGCAGGCGGCCAAGAGTCTCGCGGTCAGCCCGAAGGATCCGCCGACCTGGCAATTGCTCGCTAATCACAGCAAGAGCGTCAGCGACTCGATCAAGTCGCTGGTGGCGTCGATTCGCGATAAGGCACCCGGTCAGAAGGAGTGCGACGCGGCGATCGAGAAGTTGTCAGCGCGCATTCGCGAGCTCGATGCCGCTTCGTTGAGCGCGGTTTCGCAGGCCCTGCTGCCACGTCGCGAGAACACCGTGCAGGGATTCACCGACCAGATGGAGAGCAGCGCGAGCGAATTGCGCGAGAAACTCGAACCCCTACGCACCGCCGCCAAATACGAGGCGGAGAACGTCGGCCATGCCGTCAATCAGATTGCCCTTTATTCGGAACCGCTCGTCTCAGGCGCGATCGGCGCCGCGTCCAACATGGTGCACTCGAAGCAGCAGATGGTGCTGCTGGACCAGACCAAGACCGTGGCCGAGTCGGCGTTGCAGTTGATCTACGTTACGAAGGAGTCCGGTGGGAATCCGAAGGCCGTCGCGCTACACTCCGAGGTGGACGAGACCGTTGAGTCCACCAAAGATGCTCTTCAAGAACTGCAAAATACTCTCGAGACCATATCTACGTCCGCGGGTATCGTGACTGGTTTAATCGACACGATTTCCCGCGCGATGGTCAGACTGGAAGATCATCGAATGTCTACTATCGACACCGTGGATTCTTATGTGGATTATCAGACGAGGATGGTCGAAGCTGCTAAAGAGATCGCTCGCTTGGCTCAAGAAATGGTAAACTTTTGTATCTATAATTGTATAATATACAATGCTCTAATATACACTTTTTATAATACATTATTATTTTAAAATTTAATTAGCAAGTTAATACTTTATTCATATTTTTTGACAGAAATCAGCTATTTAAAGACCTTTATCTGCTAATTAAATTTGTTTATTAATAATATACGTTATAAAAGTAAAAATAATGTTCTAAATAATGTTATAATATTTTAAAGTGAATTAATATTTTTGAAAGATATCAATTGATTTTTGTCAAAAAATATTATTCATGTTATAAAAGTAAAAATAATATGTTATATACTTTAAAGTAAATTAATATTTTTGACAGATGTCAGCTGATTTCTGTCAAAAAATATTCATGTTACCAAAGTAAAAATAATATGTTACAATATTTATATACTCTTCTTTTATTTACAGTCGACCAAATCTAGCACAGATGTGGCTAGATTGGGTCCCTTAGCGGTCGACATATCGCATAAGTACACCCAGCTTGCTCGCGACACCTCCGGAGCATCCGCAGCCGCATCCAATGCCGATGTGTCTGCCAAACTTCGCACAGGTGTCCAGGAACTTGGACGAGCTTGTGCGGATATTGTTCGCGCTGCCGGCACTTGTCAGATGTCACCTGGCGACGCTTACGCCCAACGAGAGGTCGCAGAGCACAGCAAGAACGTGACCGAAAAAGTATCGCAGGTGTTGGCGGCTCTACAGGCGGGTTCGCGTGGCACTCAGGCGTGCATCAACGCCGCCAGCACCGTTTCCGGCATCATCGGCGACTTGGACACTACCATCATGTTTGCCACCGCCGGCACGTTGCACGCCGAGAATGAGAGCGACACGTTCGCTGATCATCGTGAAAGTATACTGCAGACCGCCAAGGCACTGGTGGAAGATACGAAGACGTTGGTCGCCGGGGCGGCATCCTCGCAAGAACAGCTGGCAGTCGCGGCGCAAAACGCAGTGTCGACCATCGTCCAGCTCGCCGAGGTCGTCAAGTACGGAGCGGCCAGTTTGGGCAGTCAGAATCCGGAAGCCCAGGTGATGCTAATCAATGCCGTGAAGGACGTCGCTTCCGCACTCGGTGACCTCATACACGCTACTAAGGCCGCCAGTGGAAAACCCATCAACGACCCCAGTATGGCACATCTTAAGGATTCCGCCAAGGTAATTCGCTTACATGCGGATCTTTTTCCGTCTTTTGCTTCTGTGATCAATTGTTTAGTCGTCGTTCTAACAAGAATGGAATTATCAGGCGTTGTCGCTTAGGATTAACCACTTGCTAGATTGGAAGAAGAGAAGGAGATAAGTTTTTGATAATTTTCAATGGAATAATGTGCTTAAATAATGAACTTACTTATTAATTATTAATTTGACGAAATCCTATATAATAAAAATTCCTGTAATCAATTAATTTAGCGAGTAATTTAATAATTTCAGTGTAATCATAGAACATATACGCTGAACCTTGTAAGTTTCGCAGAAATATTTTTTGATGAAATTAATATAAATCCCCCGTGTAAGTATTAATGAAGACTAATAACAAATTTGCAGAGTTTTAATTAATTTCCCAAGTTTTAATAATATTTTATTTCAAACATAACACCATAAAGAATGCATATCCTTCTTAAAACATTTTTTTGGGGTGGACTTTAATCGACTCATTTTGACGAACACGTTCTTATTTGCCTCTCTAACCGATTTCGTTCTCATTTTACTAAAATCTCGTTCACCTGAAAAAAGGTTAGTAATTCATCATCATCGTTCTCGAAATTATAGATATACAGGACAAGAGTATCTCTCTCTTTCTCCAGACCAAAATAAAAAAATTATATACATATATGAGCGACATTATTAAAGTCCACCTTGAACGGCTCTCCTTGCTCGGCTTCGTACTTCCATCTTTCTGTATGTATTATACATCTTTGTAAAGAATATGTTGTTTGTCTGTAATGATTTTCTCCGCTTGTTTTGCTTGTTTCTCACTCCTTTCCCGGAGGGAGGTGATAATGACAGCCAGTAGTAATAATGTAGAGCGTAATCCTATCTGTCTATCATGAATGTTTCGACGATGCAAATTTGGTGGACTTTAATACTACGTGTCTCTCACATTGACGATTTTGGTCTGGCCGGTTCTCCCGGATCTTAGGTCTTAGAGCGACAGCTGCAGCAGCAGTTTGTGCATCTGAGCGACGTCGGCGGTTCGGAATCGGAATGGTTCGTGTCCGATCAAGAGGAGGAACTAATCCGTCTGCTCTCCACTTCGGAAAGCTCTCAGCCGGCACAACGGACGTCCGACTTAGTGTTGCTCATGTAGCCGGACTTTTCGTTCTTCCCTTCCCTTCTTCGTCATTGTATTTTTTATCGTAGTTTTGTATGACATATAGCGGGAGTAATTAACGTGTTTGATGCCTTTTACGTAGAGAAAATATAATGTAGATTTGCTAAAAACCATGTAAACTATATAAGGCATTAGCGAGAGATGTCGAGTACTCGACATCAACATATAGTGATCATTTCTAACATTCATTAATATGAAAAGAGCGATTATAGTTTAATATTTAGGACCATATAGAAATATATCGAGATTAACACACTTTATTATAATCAGAATATGTCTTTTTGCACTTTTTTGAGTAAAATGATAGATTAAAAAAATTTTACATCAAGCAAATCAGTCGGTCTTTCTTCGTTAGCGACCTATTATTTTCACCGAACACTTTATCTCAATTTAGTTTATATAATTTAATCGGGCAAATCATCCTTAGGTACGTACGTTCTATTCACAGCGATGCGTTTTGGATCATTAACACAGTCTGTTAGAGTTGATGCTTCCGCATAATTTTTCGCTTATCGTTTCATCAGATCATTTAGATAGGCTCATGTAACCATGACACGCGCATCGGGCACTAATATGTGTTAACACACTACATATTATTTCCCTCTAAGTGTATTTGTGCTCATTATTTTAAGATCATCACTCAAAATCTAATAGTACTAACTAAATATTCCGTTTCTCTCGTGGATATTAATATCACAAGTGTAGAAAGGACTTGTATACAATAAATGCACTCACATCATGATCTGATCTTCGTTCAGGTGATGGTGACCAATGTGACGTCGCTGCTGAAGACGGTCAAAGCCGTGGAGGATGAACACACGCGTGGAACTAGAGCCTTAGAGTCCACGATTGAGGCTATAGCCCAGGAGATTCGAGCACTCAACAGCTCGGAGACCCAGAAGAGCCACGTGACCCCGGAGGACCTTGTACGTTGTACGAAGAGCATCACTCTAGCGACTGCGAAGGCGGTCTCCGCCGGCAACAGCTGCAAGCAGGACGACATTATCGCCGCCGCGAACATGGGCAGAAAGTCCATCAGCGACATGCTGACGATTTGCAAGAGCGCAGCCTACAATTGCGCGGAGACCGCCGAGCTGCGTGATCGTACCCTTCAAGCGGGTCACGATGTCGCCATCAACTACCGAGAGCTGCTTCAGGCCATTCTGCAGATATCATCCAGGTCGAGCGACGCCAAGCATACCCTGCCAGCGATCTCGCGCAAGATCGCGCAGAGTGTGACGGAGCTGGTGGCAGTAGCGGAGTTGTTGAAAGGCAACGATTGGGTCGATCCGGACGATCCTACGGTGATCGCGGAAAACGAACTGCTCGGTGCAGCAGCTAGTATCGACGCGGCCGCCAAGAAACTGGCCAGTCTGAGACCAAGAAGAAGCATTCAGGTGGGTTTTCGATTTTGTTATTACATTCGTGATTACTCGTAATGTTACAGCTACAGGAAAAAGGTCGTCTCCCGGTTTCCGTGAGATATGTTTGATTTTCTTGGTCGTTGTGAATGATCGACCGAGAATCGAACATATTATTACGGCGATCGGAAAAGTCAGCTGTTGCGGGTGAGTGTTAATTAAGAACATTCCAGTTATCATCTCTTTATTTTCATAATTTATTGCAAATTATCTAATTTTTTTTTAATATATGTATTCTCTCGTTTACAACAGGAGACGCCCGAAGATATGAATTTCGATGAAATGATTCTGGAAGCCGCCAAGTCGATCGCCGCCGCCACCTCGGCGCTGATAAAAGCGGCGAGTGCTGCACAACGGGAACTAATCGCGACCGGCAAAGTGTCCCGCATGCCGTTGACCAGTTCCGACGATGGCCAATGGTCCGAGGGTCTGATTTCGGCCGCTCGAATGGTGGCAGCCGCCACTCATAGTCTCGTGGAATCCGCGAACGCTCTTGTTCAAGGCGTAAGTTCCGAAGAGAAGTTGATCTCCAGCGCTAAGCAGGTTGCCAGCAGCACGGCCCAGCTATTGGTCGCTTGCAAGGTCAAGGCGGACCCTGATAGCGACAGCACAAAGCGTCTACAGGCGGCCGGTAACGCCGTAAAGCGTGCTACTGATAATCTTGTACGCGCTGCGCAACAGGCTATTCAACAGGAAGAGGACAGATCGTTGGTCCTGAACCGCCGAATGGTAGGCGGGATCGCGCAAGAGATCGACGCACGTTCGGAAGTGTTACGAATCGAACGCGAGCTGGAGGAGGCACGAGGCAGACTCACCGCCATTCGTCTAGCCAAGTATAAAAACCGGTCGGACCTGGCCGACGGCGACGGCGAGCTGTCAGCCGAGCAGAGCGGCTACCAGAGCTACACCACCCGATACGAGACTAGAGCGTACGAGCCGCAAAGCACGCCCTCGCCTATTCAAACGATGAACCACACCCTGGATCAGTTGCAATCTACCACGCAGCACATCAGTCACCAGTTCGGTGATCGGCAGAATCTGATCAGCCCGGAGAAGGTGCACTCGACGCAGAGTACGCTCGAAAGGAAGATGAAAGACAGTCAGTATCGATCCACCGTGGACAATCAATACGGATCCCTGGACAGGAAGTACATCATCGACAGTCATCAAGACAGGAGTCCGTACGTCGTCACCGAGAGGAAGATTATCACGGACAATTCGCCAGGTCAGTACAGCTCGATCGAGCGAAGGATCAACCAGGAGAGTTTCACCTCGGAGAGGAGACACGCGGACGGGATTCCTTCCCCGATTTCGTACCCGACTCCGCCGCCTCAACACATATTGTATTCACCGAAACCCCCGTCCACTATCCCCAAGATTATTCAGGAGCAAACTCTTGACGATTCCAAGGATCAGAAATATTCGACCGATCGGTTTTCGGGTGTCAGCCCGATGAGCACCTTCCGTTCCGAGAAGCAGGTAGAGAGTCAGCGATTCAGCGGAGGGATCCCGCAGCATCAGACCTTCAAGAACGTCGAGAGCAAGGTCATCCCTGGCGGCAGAATGGAGACCATCACGACGAAGACGTACACGTCCACACCCGGCAAGAGCAGCAGCTCCAACTACGAGACTACGGAGGAGACCAAGGAGTACACAACGTCCGGTAACGATCTGTCGACGTTTAAGGGTTTTGACAAGAATGATTCCCTCGAGGAGCGCACGATGAAGCAGTCGATGCACAAGGTCACGGAGAAGAAAACCGTCACCATGACGACGTCGAGCCGGCAGGAATCCAACACGAAGACCTTCCGCTATGAGGATAAGCAGTGAAGATGAAAGTAACGAAACGAAGGATTAATTAATCTCGTTCGGAAATAATCTTAAGAAAAGTAATTCGTACCGCTTACAAGAGAACGCACTATGAAAACGCGATAGGGTTTTAACAAAATAGTTGGTCAATTAAAATCGATAATTGTATTCAGCTGTTGTATCGAGATCAAAATAATTCATTATTCAATGATATTTGACGTATCTCAACTTACGCTGAACATATTACGTCAAGAGTATTCAATTTATTGTCTCGAAGAAAACAATAACAAGTTATTCATAGAAACGAATATAGAAAGTGCTCTTAGATAGATGTAACACTCGTGCTTTCCATCTGTAGCCTTATGAACGTATTTCGATAGCCATATACAAACGATTTTATGACGACGAGTTGAGATTGCACGTAATATTACATATTTCGGACATATATATATATATATAAAAACTGGGCGCATATTATGGATTTTTGTCGATCATTTATACAACAGTTTAGTTGATCATTAAGAAGTTTTAGAGCTTCTAAATCTTTATAAATTTGAATTATGTAAAATAATCATTTATATATTATATATGTAATAAGTTAATAATAATTTAATATTATTAATTTAATACATATATATAGATATATCAAATATATTCATGTAAATTCATATTCTGGAGTAAACTATTTATTCGATAAAAAATTACGTTGCTCAACATCAATGAAACAAATTTTTGATCGATTTAAAAATCCATATTATGCACCTAGTCTAAGAGAACAATTGTAATAACTGTTCGCCTCTGTATTCGCGCAAGCAAAGATTTTTTTCTCGCTTTATACTGTACTTCTCGAGGATATATTTAGACATATGGTAATATCGCGCTTGATTTAATGTTAGAATTTACGTTTTACGTTTACTCATTTACGGGTTAAGAAGAAAAACCACGAATTAACAAGAGAAGCAACATATCATTTAATTTTATTAATTTTTCCGATGCCGCGCGGCGCCGAAATCGGCCCGGCGAAGCACCGCTACTATTAACACTTTCCGCTTTTCTCGATTAACCTTGCCCCCCTTTCCCGGCGTCTCTATTTATTCCGAGTATCTTCGCAAAACTATATATCTCTCGCTCGACTCTTGTTATGTTTTCCTAGTGCGCGATTTACGTGCCTGCAGGCGGTGGCTCGTGTTTTCGATGAATTTATTAATCGTCATAGAGCTTTTATATTCGCGAGCCTAATTAGACTTCCATGAGTGATCGATTAGTGCAATTGTTAGTCTTTTTCTGCGAATATATACATATATATATATATATATACACACATAAGGTCTGTTTTTTTTTTACTGAACTCAGCTGAACTAGTGCAGAACTCTTTTTCCAATGTGGAGTAATAAAGATAAACTCTGAACTAGTGCAGCCAGTTTAGCTGAGTTTAGTCAAAAAGAACACACCTATAGATTACTACTATTGTATTAATATCCCGAAATTTCGGGAAATCTCTAAAGCTAAGGGACTCCAACGAGAAAAGTGCCTGAGTTCAATGAGCTGCCGCTTCCTCTTTCAACGTAGCGATTTTGTAGAGAATTTTTAATATTACCAAAAATCAAAATGCTTTATTAATGGGATAGAGAGTGCCGAGCAAAACGATTGACATCAAAGCTCTTCCAAAGCGATATGCGTGCTCGTTTTTTTTTATTGTGTACCTTTTAAGAGCATCAATCGCCAGTTTGTTAGATTGGCACAAACCGATGGCCAAACAGCTGATCTCTTTCATTTGGATCGATTCTGTGAATTAGCCGTGGCAGTATGTCTATATATTGTCACCGAATTACGATAAAATTATTTTTCTGTATAATTGTTGGATTCAGACGAGAGACGAATGTAGAATAATAATAATAAAGAATCGTGATCGGTTTGTGCGAATCTTTGCATCTAATAAAGGAATGTGCCATGATATATTACGAATGCGTGTAAGTGTGTATATCGGAAGATACGCGAATTATATAAAGATATATACATACACATAGATTATATATTATATATGTTATACACACACAAGACGTTCGCATATACATATACAAAATACATAGCGATCTTTGCGATTAAAATAATGTTTTTCGTATATCGTTTTAATGGTTTATATATTGACTATGTAGAGGATATTTTATATGTAGAATATAGAGGCTGCACGCGCGCAAGATATCTGATACTAATAATGGCTCGATCCTAGTATCGGCATTTCGTAGTGTTTAGTGTCAACAAGAGAGTGCAGATATTCTTCCAGCTAAAATTAAAACAATGAATCTCCCGGAAGGAACCGTCTCTTAGAAAAATCTACTTATTATACAATACTTATATATATATCTTTGTGCGCATGAATAATTCATCCTCTCATTTCTGTTCGCTACTGCCTTTTCCAATTGCTAATTATTATTATTATTTTTTTTTTAGTAAATATATACTCGATTTAACTAATATTGTCGGATGTGATCAAAGCGAAATCATTGTAAAAAGAAAAATATGTAAAAACGCAGACACTTTTTTGCTGTAATTCGAAATCTATATATAAATTCTCAATAGCTTTGCGATTAATTATAGTGTAAAAATCTACAAGCGTTTCTTCCTGTAAAATTTTAGATGGATTCCTTTTTGAATCTTGACCTTATATAATATATTATCGTTTTGCCGCGATTATATCGACGCCAATCATTATATGATACATCATTAATATACTTTTCTTTGCAATGTTGGTTGTATTTATAGTTGTATTAATTATATTAATATATTGATATAAATATACAAATTATTATTTAATAAAATTAATAATAATATTTAATCCTCTATTTAACATATCCATATTATGTTAAATTAACATGAAAATATTTGTGGACCTCGCTTGGAACATGTGATATTTGTTAAACTTAAATTATAAATTTTTCAACTGTAAAGGACATCATTTAATTCGCAATATTTGCATTCATATATAACATGTATTTTTAAAAACAGATGTATATACATGTATTTTAAATAAAATACATGTTATTAATGAATGCAAATATTTGCGAATTAGATGATGTCCTTTACAGTTGATAAATTTAATGAATTTCTTTTTATAGATTCTTTAATTAATTTTTTTATTATCAAATACCCATGCAACATGTACAACAAATAGGAAATTTATTGCATTATTTTGTTTCTAATTTTCTTATTTTATATAATTTCTCAATTGATGTCGGTTTTTTCTTTAAAAAATTGTTACGATGTCTGGTTGTATTTGTATTTTTCTCTTTTTCACAAATCTTATAAAATTAGATACTCATTGCTAGAATTTATAATTCAAGTATGTGTATTTAAAAATATACTTGTCGAGCTTTATTTGCTAAAATTCATTTTAAAAGTGTCAGAAGAAAATTTGAGTATGATGAAAAATTTAATAGAGTACAAATTGATAATTGATACGATTGGCATTTATGTACTTCAATAAAAATTAAATGTACGTAACAGTGGAAATATATCTAACTACCCAAGTTTTTAACATGGAATTATGAAACAATTTTGTTGCTCATGTCACAATTTGAACTTTATTGGAGCGAAGTCTTGTACTGATTGAAGTTTCTCAGTTAAATGAAAGATATCTACGTCATCAAATTGACCATACTCGGAGTTATTTCACGCTTAGCGGAAATGATTCTATTCTCATGTAATTGTCGAGACAGAAGATGGGCTCCTAATAATCGGATGTAGACTTTATTTAACTTTGTACCATTAAAAGACGAAAATTGTACCTTAACTTTGTACCATTAAAAGACGAAAGAGATAATAGACGAAATTTATACATGCACTTGATGCGCAAAAATCAAATAAGAGAAAAAAATACGAAATAATACGGAAAACAGTTTTCTCTCCTTTTCTATCTCAAGAGAAATCATTCGGCCAGGCTGATATATCTTCATGCTAAACAACGCATATTATTGACATAACATGAACTCACCGCGTGTCAATACGTACAATTTAATTTATTGACGTATATTATAACTTTCATTGCATGCAACGCTGATGTCATCAATGACCGATCAGTGTGAAATTGCGACGAGCGTTTAATATGCGTTGTTTAGCATGAAGATATATCAGCCTGTGCGAATGATCTCTCTTGAGATAGAAAAGGAGAGAAAACTGTTTTCCGTATTATTTCGTATTTTTTTCTCTCGTGTGTCTTTTGCGCATCAAGTGCGTGTATGCATTTCGTATATTATAACTTTCATTGCATGCAACGCTGATGTCATCAATGACCGATCAGTGTGAAATTGCGACGAGCGTTTAATATGCGTTGTTTAGCATGAAGATATATCAGCCTGTGCGAATGATTTCTCTTGAGATAGAAAAGGAGAGAAAACTGTTTTCCGTATTATTTCGTATTTTTTTCTCTTGTGTGTCTTTTGCGCATCAAGTGCGTGTATGCATTTCGTCTATTATCTTTTAATGATACAAAGTTAATTAATTACTGTTATGACTGAAACCATAAAATTGACGCGTAAAAAATTGTGAAAAATAAAAGAAAAAGTTAAAAGTTGATAGTATATCTGGTGGTAACTGGTACGAGTATAATCCAGTATCTGACATATGTAAGCTGATATATGCAAGACGCAAAATATTACCATAACGAAAAGACTTTATAAAGTTTATATACCTATTCAATATCAGTAATATGCATTTAACGTTTTAATTTGCATTTCGATCTTATGACATTCGATAATAATATTAAATAATTGAACTTGTTTCATTTGATTAACATGCAATTAATTTGTCTTATAAAAAATCATTGATATTTGATGATTTTAAATATACAATTAGTAGATAAGTTATATTTTTAATTAAATATAGAACATAAAAAAGAAGTCTAATTTGAAAATCCTTCCTTTGACATAAGCTAAATTTTTAATATTATATGTATGATGATGAAAGATTTTAAAATCTATCAAAATCAAATCTGAAATCTCAGATATACATATATATGATAATTGTCACCAAAAAAATTTTATCATCACATAAAATTATTAAAAAGAATTTGAAGAAGATATCTAAATGTCTAGTAATATATATTTTTAGGGGACCATTTTTGGATTCGGAAATATATTATATGATAGAGAAAAAAAGCAGAAAAGGATGTATTGATTATGTATCATTCGAAGAGATATTTCCTTTAATCAAAGGGTCAAAGAAGGAGGAAGCAAATGTTCGGAACCCCACTTGTTCTTTGAATTTGCGTCAGAGAAGTGCATCTGAATCGAGCTCACACAATGATACAATTACTAATAGTTTCAACTGTGGGTGGGGGGGTCGCTTCAAATAAGTCCTGCAAAACTTCCCGAGCCAAGTTGAAGTACAGAATTACGAGCGAAGAGACTGCAACAGCAAGTGTCAAGCTATCTGAAAAGAGTGTGAAGTGTATTATATACGTTTATCGTTTACGTGAATTATAAGTAACAGCATTGAATTTTGAAGTTACATCGAAAATCAACGACTTACACCGTTTTATCTAAGGGTGAGTAAAGATTTTTTAATTCCGTGTCTATAAACTTTTTTTCAAATGATTGCTTTGAGATTAATTTAAAATAATTTATTTAAAATTAGAAATCTTGTGACATATTTTTTGCCATCCATTAAAATTAATTGTATCTGTACGAGAAACATTTATTATCAATCATCTATGCATCTAATCATTTAATCATTTCCGCTAAGCTTGAAATATTTCCGAGTATGATCCATTTGGCGACTTAGGTATCCTCCGTTTTTCATGTTATTATGTTTTAATTTAACATAATATGGATATATAATTAACTTTGTGTTAATAACATGATATAGTTAAATGGAGACACAAATATTGTGTTAATATTTTAACACAAAATAAATAAAACTTTAAATAATTTGAAATAAATTTTGTGTAAAATTAACATACTTTTTATGAAAAAATAAAAAAAAATGTTATTTTTAGATTTTATCATCCCCACTTATATTATAAAATAGAAAATCAACATTTTCTTCTGTAAATTTTAACAGAAAAATCTTGTCACTAATAAAGCAGAACATATTTATTGTGTAAAATTAAAAATAAATGCATATTAATTGTGTTATTTTTACATTTTTTGTCATTTAATAATTTAACATTTAAGTTCAATTAACAGAACAGTAATATGTTAAATTAACACATGAATGTGTTAAATATTTAACACCAAAATTTAAACGGGGACCGTTTTTGACAAGAAAACACAAATTTTTCTACTGTGTTCGCCTCAGAATTGTGTAACATGTTTCTCTTTCAAAATAAAATAATTTTTAAAATGCCCACTTTTTTTTATCTTATATTCTTATCGCGTTCTTTTTTTTAATAGACTTAACGCACGGAAATTTACAAATTTTTACAAGACAACAATGACGGGTTCGAAAGAATTGAAACGACCCATGCTAACCATGAAAAGCAATAAAATAAACAATTTTAACGAGAATCTACCGAATGATGCAACAACCGATGCTCTTAAGGAAGAGATTCAGAAGAGTAGCGACTTGACGACTGACTATGAATCTACTGATGATTCCGATAAATCGACTTCTGCTTCATTGAACAACTTCACGGACCAGCACAAGGAATTCATAACAAAGTGTAAAGAGGAACTCGTCAATAGCTCTTTGCCAGTGGATTTCGATCAGTGGACACTTCAAGAGCAATATGACCATCTCATAAACAATATTAACAAATATTTCCCAAACATACCCGAATCTCTAAGATTCGTTTTGCCAGCGATCTTTAAAGATGGGGATTGCGGCCGACCGGCGAACGAAAGGCCAGATTGGTTAGATATGGACAAATTTTATCGTGGACAACAATTCGCCCTACGTTATTTGACCGGCGTCGCCCTAAGCGGCCTGATGAGTCTACTAATGATATTCAACTTTGCTGACGGACTGAAGCCGCTAATCCTCAGCCAGAAATCCAATACGCCGTATCGCGCTTTCAAACGTTACTTGTCAACAAATAGACGTTTCATGAACTGGTACATAAGCGATCCTTGGCGCGAAGGAACGCAGGCCTATCGCGATATCCAGATGGTACGAAAACTGCATCGTAACATGAGAGAGAAATTGTGCAAGATAAGCGACGATCAGATCGATCGGGAGAGCGAAATTACTCAACTAATGTGCCCGGCGTTTAAAACAATCGCGAGGGACTTTGAAGAAACGTGTCCGACAGGGAAGAGCTGGCAATGTCCGTATACGATGTTGAGGATGAAGGGTCTGAATCAAGGTGACATGGCAGGCACGCAGTTCGCCCTCATGGGCCTGATAGTGCTCTATCCTGAACAATTCGGAGTGCACAACGCCAGCGAAGAAGACCTCGAAGCGTTCTGTCATCTTTGGCGCGGACTGGGCTACTTGCTGGGCATCGAGGATCAGTACAACTTCTGTCGTGGCAGTCTGCAGGACGTACGCCGACGTGCCGAAGACTTCATCGAGTATTGGGTAAAGCCAAATTTTCCCACAGTGACGGCAAAATGGGAGCACATGTCCATCTGCGTCTTCGAGGGAATCGGCTTCATTGCTCTCTTCAAAAGTTATAAAGCTTTTTTGCTTTATTTGTGCAACGTACTCAAGCTCGACATGCCTGGCCTGTATAAATCTCTTAGTTGGTCGGAGACAATAATGTACTGGGCGTTGAAATGTCTATTCTTCTTGCTAAAATTTCCTGATGTTTCTCGCATTATGAACGCGATATTTCATAAGGATCTGAATCGAGCGACAGAGTTCGGAACTGAGAAACTTGCCACACTTGAAAAGAAATCATCCAAGATCATCCAGGAATTTGTCGTTGCGCTTTAAATCGTTTAATTGAAGATTTAAATTTGCACAAGATTCTATGACTTATTAAGTTTTCATGTCTTTCTATCATATAGATATTGTGATCGAACGAATCGTATTTTTTTATTAGAAGAGATATCTCAGTACTGTTAAATTTAAAGTTATGCGTTTCTTACTTATTTATTACGACGATAATATCAACGACTATAATATTTAGATTTAAGAGAAAAAAATTATAGAAAATATGCAAAAAAAAAAAATATATTTTCTATAAGCTAGATCTTATATGGAAATGTCAACAAAAGTTACAAATAATTAAAAAAAAGTTACTTTTCAGATTTTTTATAACGCTATATATCTAGAGAGAATACTTATCGTTAGTATTTAATTATGCTCCTACATTTAATTAAAAAAAAAAAAAAAAATTACATATTTAACTTAAGAAACCGAATAGATTTAACTTATGCTACATAACTAGAGAAAATATTTATTGTTAATATTTAGTATGCTTCTAAAAAGTAAAAAGGTTGTTATTATATACTGCTGTTTGTGAAAATTCCAACACCATGAAGGAATAATGATATTAGTTGTGTTGTAATTTTCATAAACAGCAGTGTATATTTAATATAAAAAAAAACTAAATAATAGATTTAACTTATTTAGTATAATTTATTTAATTAGAATTTAGAATTAGAATTTATTTATAATTTATTTTTTAACATATTGTATTTATTTATTAAGTTTTCATGTCTTTCTATCATATAGATATTGTGATCGAACGAATCGTATTTTTTTATTAGAAGAGATATCTCAGTACTGTTAAATTTAAAGTTATGCGTTTCTTACTTATTTATTACGACGATAATATCAACGACTATAATATTTAGATTTAAGAGAAAAAAAATTATAGAATATATGCAAAAAAAAAATATATTTTCTATAAGCTAGATCTTATATGGAAATGTCAACAAAAGTTACAAATAATTAAAAAAAAAGTTACTTTTCAGAATTTTTATAACGCTACATATCTAGAAAGAATACTTATCGTTAGTATTTAATTATGCTCCTACATTTAATTAAAAAAAAAAAAAAATTACATATTTAACTTAAGAAACCGAATAGATTTAACTTATGCTATATAGCTAGAGAAAATATTTATTGTTAGTATTTAGTATGCTTCTAAAAAGTAAAAAGATTGTTATTATATACTGCTGTTTGTGAAAATTCCAACACCATGAAGGAATAATGATATTAGTTGTGTTGCAATTTTCATAAACAGCAGTGTATATTTAATATAAAAAAAACTAAATAGTAGATTTAACTTATTTAGTATAATTTATTTAATTAGAATTTAGAATTAGAATTTATTTCTAATTTATTTCTTAATATATTGTATTTATTTATTATTTTATATTATTATACTTTATTATTTACTATTTATAAATTAAATTGTTTTGTAAAAATAAATGTTATTTATATATTATAAACGGTATATTTATTATATGATAAATACAATTAAGAGTGATGATGAATGAATGAAACATATGAGCTAAGAACTTTTAAAATATCGAAGTTATAAAAATTACAAAATAAAAAGAAAGATAAATCAAGTTTTTAAATATAATTCTCATATGTATACATATATGAGAATTATATCACTGAACAAAGATTTTAGTATCATATAAAATTATTAAAAAGAATTCGAATAGAGTCAATCGAAAAGTTTAATGTGTATTTTTCGAGGACAATTTTCGGTTTCGAAAATATATGATTAAGAAAAGAAGAAAAAAAATCTATTGATATATGTATATACAATATATGTTAGTTAAAAAAAAAAAATTTTAAATATGCCTCTAATTATGTAAAAATTTGAAGAAGGAGGAGCATGTAACCTCTCACTTCTACTTATTTATATTTCCAATAAATCAGAGCAAATGCATCGGACTTACAAGAATGATAGAATTGTTAATAGTCACAACTAATTTTAAGAATCGCCCCCCTCATAAGGCATAAAAAGCTTTGCGAAACTTCACAAGTAAAGAGACTACAACGGCAAATACTCTAATTCATTTGAAAAGAGTGCAAAGTAAGTATGTGCAATCGTTTACATAAATTACAAAAGCAACAGCGTTGAACTTTGAAGCTAACTTACGTTCAAAATTAATAACTGACACCTTGTTGTTCAAAGGTAAGTAAAGATTTTTTATTTCGCGTGTCTATAAACTTTTCTCATTATGATTGCTTTGGGATTAATTTAAAATAATTTATTAAAAATTAAAAATCTTGTGATCATTTTTTGCTATTCTTTAAAATGAATCGAATGTGAACAATAAACATTTATTGTCAAACTTCAATGCAACCGATTATTCTTACAGCTTATACATATGTATATCCAGTTTTATAAACTCGATTATAACTTCTGTATTAATATATGTATAATATATGTATATGTATATACATTCAGAGTATAACTCTGTTTAATTTATAGTTAAATAAATATTTCTAGAAATACTGGACGAATTATAGTGCATCAATTTCAAGAAAGAATTAATTTTTATTGAAACTGATTATGCACAGGACACACATTTTCTTTGGCACGATATACCAAGGTACTAATAAGAAACTAAGAAATCTCAATTCAAGATTTTACTTTTAATAAACACTTGTCTTCCAATAAATAATTAATCAGTTTTTCCATGAAAATTAATTCTTTTTTGAACTAACTATTATTTATATATTCGGTTCTTTCCAGCTAATAATTTAAATATGTATTTTACATTGAAAGCCTTACTACAATCTTAATTGTTAATCTATAAATATTTACTTTGAAAATTGTTTTTTTCTGAAAGATTGACTTTCAAGATAAATGTTAAAATAAGTGGGGAAGGTTTGCTGTAAGAGATGAAGTTTGGAAATTAAATAGAATAATTTCTTAAATAGAATAATTTTTTATGATATAATTTAATTTATAGAACGTCGATTATACTAAAAAAAATATTTATATCCTGAAGCATTTTATTATATTTACTATTTCAGTTAGCAAATAGTTATTTATCTTACTATAACTGTACAATAACACTGACATAAAAGTAAGAGAATATTTACTAACAATAAGACAGTGACATGTTTATTCATTACTTCATCCAAGCAAAAAAAAATGACTACAATAGTCTATAAAATAATAATTATACAAAAAATATATAACAAAGTCTGTTTTTTCTTAATTTCTTCGTGTGTCGATTTTATTAGCAAAACTTACTGAACTCGTAGTAGAATAATATGACATAAACTTTAAATAAAAGTTGAATATCTGAGGAATTACATATTAGTTTCAGAATGTATTTAAAAAATTTTTCTTAATATTTAACGCTTTAAATTTTAATATGCAAAGTAGTCAATCTATTAAAAAAATATACAGGATCTCCTATTTTATCCTTGAAAAGTCAAATATCTCATCTGAAGCTTGATAAGATTTTCAGGACAAATTCGAAGAATGAGAACAGCATTGCGTTCGCAGTATCATGTTTAATCAATTGATTAAAGTTAATATGTCACAAATCTGTGCAAAAAATGTGAAGCTCAATGAACGGAGTACGATTTCCGCGAGCCTGATAACAAGAAAAAAAGAGTTGTTCTCGTCTCGTAATACCAAATAAATATGTCATGATTAATGTCGATAAGATAATAACAGCTATTTATAATTGTTCTATAGTTGTGTCTTTTATTAATGTAATGTTTCTATAAATATCTCTTTTATCAATGAATATGAGTTGCAATGACTGCTATGAGTGCATGAGTACCGTAAGAAATTGCGATTGATCTTCGAACTTAATAATGTCAATTGATTGTCATAAAATGATTACAGCATGTTGAAAGTCTGTTTCACTTTTTATATCTCACAATTAAATTATTTTACATAATACTTTATCTTTAGCAATATATTAATATGTTTTATACAAAGTTTTATATTTTTGTATCTTTTTCTTCAATTAAAAATAATTGAAGAATAAGAACCATGCGAATTTTTTTAAGGATAAAAAGATTATTTAATCTGCAAAAATTAGTAGAAGTTATCGAATTATCAAAAATCAAGCCTTTATCATAATCGAAAATTAATCCTAAAAATAAAAAAATTGATACCTAAAAGTTTAATTTAATTTTCTTAATATTAATATTCTTGATTTTGATATTCTAATTTTAAAATATTATTAAAAATATTTACAACGCATTTTCTATTTAATCATTAATACAGTGAATAATTTTAACAATTGTTATGAGAAAGTATCGTAATAATTGGTGTCGTGATAGTAGCAAAGGAATAATACATGTATACGTCATAAATCAATGTAGAAATACTTTCTAGAAGAAAGAGGAAATCCAAATAAATGATTATTGAATAATTGATTATAGGCGTCATAAAATATAAACTTTTTCAGAGATAAATCTTTGGTGGTCGCTAAAGAGGATGTATAAAACGAATTGTAAGTAGATTATATGCTTCGAAAACATTTCAAATGAACTTGTTAGGTAATCATGATGACGTGAAAGTAAAACAGACGTTCAATGTGCGTGACTTTATCGTAATTTCCGTTTTGCTCGTGATGTAGACCTTAGACCAGTCTCCAATCTCTAATTGGAAAACTTTGATAAAGAGGTATGTATGATTATTTATTCAGTTGTTGTCGTCATCTGCTTATGCGTAATTAACAATGATTAGCGCGGGTGAAATTACAAATAATGGATACTCATTGACGTATGAAAACATGTCAGTCTCTTCAGACAATCTCTTGGAAGGAAATCACCCGTATCTTATTTTCTTCTCTTTCGAAGTTCTACTTCTGTATGCTACGTCAGTCAAAAAGATCTCAAAATATTGATAGAGTTTTAATCTGATTGTGAATAATCACTTGATCGGTTATTATTACCGGAGATATTATCTCATATACAAATACAAAATATACGGTCTTTTTGTGCTTATATTTTAATTTCAATGGGAATAAAAAAATCAGCTTTATTTGTAATAATTTATTTTTGAAAAAATATCAAACATAAAAGTTAAATCTGTGAAAGATAGATTTTCGTGATTTTGTGATATCTTACTATTTTGGAAAGTTATTAAAGATAGTGCATCTCAACCAATATACTATTTCATTATTTATAAATTAATTAAAAGTTTTAACAATTGCGTTGAGAAAATTTTATAACTGGGGAATTCGAGTGG